GCCTGATCAGCCTTGTGTACCTGCACCGTTTGAGTGATTCTGAAAGTCTATTTGGCCCCTTGGTTGCGGCGCTGTTTGTGCTTCTTGTTCTTTCAGGTAACGTTTTCGCCTCTAGAGGGAAGCCGAGTGCTTTGCGAGCCGAAACTTATTCATGAAGAACCTTATCCAAGCCGAGCCTTACCAGTTGTACTCGAAAGGATTAGCACCCTCCATCTGGAGTCTAAGTGTGTACACCCCATTCGTGGGGAATCCTCGGGTGTACCCATCGTGTGACCCCGGGCCGGCTTCGCCGGAAAATTTGACCTCAGCGTGCTTATCATAGAACAGCGTTTAAGCAGGAACGAGGTTTCACTAAAGGGAAGACAGCCACCTCTTCATAGTTACGTTTCACAATGCTGGATGTCGCTGCTGGCAGCTTCTTTTGTGCCTTGCGTTGGGAACATGCATGTCCATGGTCTTGCGTTGTCATTGATTGTGCCTTGCGCGGTAAACCAATGCCGTTGAACTTGATGTTCTGGTTGTGCAATGCTCGGGTTGCACGTGCATGTTCTGTTTGCGCAATGCTTGTTCCATGATGTTGCGGATCGTCTTGTCAAGGTCGTCTGGCAGGCTGAGCCACCCCTTGCGTAGGTCCGTTTCAAGGTCGTCTGGCAGGCAGAGACATCTGGTATAGGTCCGTTTCGAAGTCGTCTGGCAGGCAGAGCCACCCCTCGAATAGGTCCGTTTCAAGGTCGTCTGGCAGGCTGAGCCACCCCTTGCGTAGGTCCGTTTCAAGGTCGTCTGGCAGGCAGAGCCACCCCTGGTATAGGTCCGTTTCGATGTCGTCTGGCAGGCAGAGCCACCCCCTCGAATAGGTCCGTTTCAAGGTCGTCTGGCTGAGCCACCCCTGGCATAGGTCCGTTTCAAAGTTGTCTGGCAGGCAGAGCCGCCCCGTCACTTGCCCCTGTGGGGGCGCGTGTGTGCGGAGCATCAGATTTACCCTGATGCCAACTTTTCAACATGCAGGGGGCGTGTGGCACTCTCATCCTACCACACGCAATGAAGCTGTGGGTGAGAGTGGGAAGCAAGGCCTGATCAGCCTTGTGTACCTGCACCGTTTGAGTGATTCTGAAAGCCTATTTGGCCCCTTGGTTGCGGCGCTGTTTGTGCTTCTTGTTCTTTCGGGTAACGTTTTCGCCTCTAGAGGGAAGCCGAGTGCTTTGCGAGCCGAAACTTATTCATGAAGAACCTTATCCAAGCCGAGCCTTACCAGTTGTACTCGAAAGGATTAGCACCTCCATCTGGAGTCTAAGTGTGTACACCCCATTCGTGGGGAATCCTCGGGTGTACCCATCGTGTGACCCCGGGCCGGCTTCGCCGGAAATTTGACCTCAACGTGCTTATCATAGAACAGCGGAATTTCACGTTTAAGCAGGAACGAGGTTTCACTAAAGGCAAGACAGCTACCTCTTCATAGTTACGTTTCACAATGCTGGATGTCGCTGCTGGCAGCTTCTTTTGTGCCTTGCGTTGGGAACATGCATGTCCATGGTCTTGCGTTGTCATTGATTGTGCCTTGCGCGGTAAATCAATGCCGTTGAACTTGATGTTCTGGTTGTGCAATGCTCGGGTTGCGCGTGCATGTTCTGTTTGCGCAATGCTTGTTCCATGATGTTGCGGATCGTGTTGTCAAGGTCGTCTGGCAGGCTGAGCCACCCCTTGCGTAGGTCCGTTTCAAGGTCGTCTGGCAGGCGGAGCCACCCCTGGCATAGGTCCGTTTCGAAGTCGTCTGGCAGGCAGAGCCACCCCTCGAATAGGTCCGTTTCAAGGTCGTCTGGCAGGCTGAGCCAACCCTTGCGTAGCAGAGCCACCCCTGGTATAGGTCCGTTTCGAAGTCGTCTGGCAGGCAGAGCCACCCCCTCGAATAGGTCCGTTTCAAGGTCGTCTGGCAGGCTGAGCCACACCTGGCATAGGTCCGTCTCAAAGTTGTCTGGCAGGCAGAGCCGCCCCGTCACTTGCCGCTGTGGGGCGTGTGTGTGCGGAGCATCAGATTTACCCTGATGCCAACTTTTCAACATGCAGGGGCGTGTGGCACTCTCATCCTACCACACGCAATGAAGCTGTGGGTGAGAGTGGGAAGCAAGGCCTGATCAGCCTTGTGTACCTGCACCGTTTGAGTGATTCTGAAAGCCTATTTGGCCCCTTGGTTGCGGCGCTGTTTGTGCTTCTTGTTCTTTCGGGTAACGTTTTCGCCTCTAGAGTGAAGCCGAGTGCTTTGCGAGCCGAAACTTGTTCATGAAGAACCTTATCCAAGCCGAGCCTTACCAGTTGTACTCGAAAGGATTAGCACCCTCCATCTGGAGTCTAAGTGTGTACACCCCATTCGTGGGGAATCCTCGGGTGTACCCATCGTGTGACCCCGGGCCGGCTTCGCCGGAAAATTTGACCTCAGCGTGCTTATCATAGAACAGCGTTTAAGCAGGAACGAGGTTTCACTAAAGGGAAGACAGCCACCTCTTCATAGTTACGTTTCACAATGCTGGATGTCGCTGCTGGCAGCTTCTTTTGTGCCTTGCGTTGGGAACATGCATGTCCATGGTCTTGCGTTGTCATTGATTGTGCCTTGCGCGGTAAATCAATGCCGTTGAACTTGATGTTCTGGTTGTGCAATGCTCGGGTTGCGCGTGCATGTTCTGTTTGCGCAATGCTTGTTCCATGATGTTGCGGATCGTGTTGTCAAGGTCGTCTGGCAGGCTGAGCCACCCCTTGCGTAGGTCCGTTTCAAGGTCGTCTGGCAGGCGGAGCCACCCCTGGCATAGGTCCGTTTCGAAGTCGTCTGGCAGGCAGAGCCACCCCTCGAATAGGTCCGTTTCAAGGTCGTCTGGCAGGCTGAGCCAACCCTTGCGTAGCAGAGCCACCCCTGGTATAGGTCCGTTTCGATGTCGTCTGGCAGGCAGAGCCACCCCCTCGAATAGGTCCGTTTCAAGGTTGTCTTCAGCCTGCCCCTGGCATAGGTCCGTCTCAAAGTTGTCTGGCAGGCAGAGCCGCCCCGTCACTTGCCCCTGTGGGGCGTGTGTGTGCGGAGCATCAGATTTACCCTGATGCCAACTTTTCAACATGCAGGGGCGTGTGGCACTCTCATCCTACCACACGCAATGAAGCTGTGGGTGAGAGTGGGAAGCAAGGCCTGATCAGCCTTGTGTACCTGCACCGTTTGAGTGATTCTGAAAGCCTATTTGGCCCCTTGGTTGCGGCGCTGTTTGTGCTTCTTGTTCTTTCGGGTAACGTTTTCGCCTCTAGAGGGAAGCCGAGTGCTTTGCGAGCCGAAACTTATTCATGAAGAACCTTATCCAAGCCGAGCCTTACCAGTTGTACTCGAAAGGATTAGCACCCTCCATCTGGAGTCTAAGTGTGTGTGTGTGTGTGGGGATTCTTGAGGGTACCGTTTTCTGGCTGGTGTTAAAGCAAAACCACAAGGACAACCAACTTCTTTGGGATTCCCCTAAAAAATGACACGCCCTCACGGAGTCTATTAACCCCCCGGCCTCCATTCTCAGCCCAAAGGACCCAAAAAGTGAAGGTAACTATGGAAAAAATCAAAGGTTTCGCAACCTTTTTTTGGGCCATGGCTAGAAAATCTTGATTGCTGTTGACCCCCCTGCAAAAAGCTTGACTTTTGGGGGGGTTTAGTGGAAAACCCCTTGATTTCGCAAAAGTTAAAGTCTAAAGATCCAACCCAATAGCAGTCAAGAAATGGCCCAACAAGTAGAGACACCAACAAGGGCCAAAGGCCGCTTCGCTTTCGGAGTTCGGCAAGGGCACCACTTGAGGTCCTCGTGGCAATCCGGGGTAGTGAAGCTGCCATCATATCCTGCCAAAGGAAGGAGTGAAGGCTGCAGTTCCCGAACAAAAGATGGCATCAGTCCGTGAAAATGCGCCTGACAAGAACAATCAGGAAGTGTGTTTCCAAATGCTCCATCTTCGCGGCAGCCTGAAGTCTACAAGGCTACCCCCACATGAGCGCCGGTCAGCTTCCACCCATCGTGAGCTCTACAACAAGCGGGGACCCCTTTGAAATGTCAAAGGGCTTTGGGGGGTACCATGGGGAGAAACATTCTGCGAAACCCATCAAAAGGGATCCTTCAAAGAGCTGATCAATCCCTCCCAGTCGGCGTGAACAAGAAGGAACCCCAGATCCTAACTGTGACCCTGGCAGGCCATGATTCATCCAGGTTCAGCTCTTGATGAAAAAAGTGTACAGCTCCCACGCCAAAAACATGGCCGGCTTCAACAGGCTCAGGAACATCGACCGGAAAATGGCCCGCAACAAGCCGATTTTTGTGGGCCTGGACGTCCAACCCAACCCTTTTCTGTCAGGAAAATCTACGGGAAACGGCCCCAACCACAATAAGCCGTTCTCCTGAATAACCCCTTTGACCCTCTCTCTCCACCGGCTTCTTCCCGCCAACGCCAACCAAAAAAACGAGCCCAAGCCCAAGCCCTGGCCCCTCGTCGCCAACCCTGCTGTTCGCGGCCGGGAAAGATCAATAGATAATATACATATATACATATATATATATACACACACCAAAAAAAAATAACAAAGAAGAAAAACAAGAAGAAGAAAAAAGAAGACACAAAAACGCGGCGGGCGGGCGGTAGAAGTTGCCATCCAGGGCGGGGCCCAGGGATCGCATGAGGTCGATGGGCTTCCTCGCGGTCCTTGCGCCGGTGAAGCTACAGCTCGTGCAGCGCTCATACCGTGGATGGTTGCGAAATCCATTTCGCACCACGAAACGAAACCACGGTTTGAAACCATATACAACGTTTGTTGGACAAAAGCCGGGGATCATCATTCCAGGATTTCTCTTGTGGTGATTTGTGTGTGGGATCCCCAACTCTTGCTGGTGCTGCAGGTGCTGCTGGATCCCAACTCTACAACACTGAGGGGTTCAAATCCCATCTTCAAAATCCAACCAGCCACTTGCCTTGCTGGTGCGAGATCGGTTAACGACGAGCCCTCTGAAAGAAATAGAAATACGTCCAGTGGTTAAAATCCCCTTTTAACCCAAACAAAATATTCTGCGCAACTGGAGGCAACTTGTGTGTTCGGATAACCTCGGAAAGCTACTTGCAACCAGGGTTTGCCTTTTCCACTGAAATGAACAGCCTCCCTTGAAAAGGGTTTCTGCACTACCAGGGGGGCTACTTATTTATCCCAGAAACAGTGGAAAAGGCCAACCATGAACTTGCAACCGGGTTTGCGAACTCCGAGAACTTACAAGGCACAAGGAGTTCGGGTCCGGGTTTCGGGTCCGGGGGCTTTACTCTCGGAAGGTCTCTGCCTTGGCTGCGTCCAAGAAGACTGGATTCCCGAAACCAAAGCGGGGGATGTCCAGGAAGCTTCCAGGAAATTCCCTAGGTCCTCCAGTAGAGAGGTTGGAATAAGGGTGCCCTTTTTTCCGTAGTCTATTTTAGTAGGGGAACCCTCCCCCCAAAAAAGGGTAAAAGGACACTACTGGGGGACCTAGTTCCCTTTCAGACTCCGTGTCGTGTCTGACCCTTTGAACTGAAACTTGCAATGTCACGAGCCATTTCTTTCTGTCGGGCCCAGAACTGACACTCAAAGCTCCCCCTTCGGACACCGCAAGAATGCCGACCAGGTTTTTCTTCTACCCGGCATGACACGTGCAAACGGAGGGCAAGTGATGGCCACAAACCCAACATGCTGGCAGGCCAAGCTTCTTGTACGTGCCATTCGGTATGATCTCTTCGCCTTTGCAAGGCATTTTTGGTAGACATCTGCCAGGCACGTGCAACAGCCAAGGACAAGCTCGAGGCACGCCGCAGATTAACATGGAACCCCCTTTTGCAGGAATCTCCTTTTGGAAGACCCCGGTTTTGGGTTCCGTGTTACTAAGCGCAAGGCCCAAGAAGAATTGCTTGAGGAAGAGGTTCTCGTGCTCGCCGATGTCAAACATGAAGCCCAAGACCACCAAGGGAAAGGCATCATGGGACTCAGGCCTCAGACACGGATTCGCATGGCCTCACTGCCAGAATGTTGCGAAAGCAGGTTGTCAAGGGAACGAGGTACTGGCATGGGAACAGAAAATTTGACCCCATGAAACCTTGAGGGAATGTTCGGCTATCCCAGGTGTCCTAATCACCTCTGTGAGCCCAGTTTCCTCTTGTCGCAAGCTGCTTGCCAAGCGAGGCTTAATTGCTCACTGCGAAGCAGGCTTGGGCCGGCCCCCGGCTTCCCCGTGTCTAAGCAACAACCGGTTCAACAACCTTGGGTGCTCATGCAAACCCAATGTCACTGAGTGCGCCTTTCAAAACAACACAGCCAAGGCTTGCAGCCGCTGCATTAAAACAAAAACAAACAAAAAACGAGAAGAAGATGGGCTGATCCTTTTGGTCGCCTTAAAATTCCGGAGAAAAACAAATAGAATAAAACCCCCCCAAAAAAAAACGAGAAAAATGGGCTGCTCCTTCTTTCAGGCGCCCTCGCCTCGCACATCTGTTGCCGAGGCGCGAGGTGCCCACGTAGCGCTGCCGGGTGTGCACGATGTGCAGCTCCGCAGCGAACTGGCGGCCGTTGATCATGTGCTCGGAGGGCATGTGCAAATGGAACTGCCCCTGGGCGCCAAAAATTGAAACGGATTCGCCATGCAAGTGGGGCAAAAAAGAAGAAGAAGAAGAAGAGAAAAGCGCGGCGTGAACCAAGCAAACAGGAACTTGGTAAATTCCTCAACCCTCAAACCCAGCCATGATAGGTCCTACCTACCATAGGGGCAAAGCGATGTACAGGCCGAAGCTGAGGGGCCACGTCATAGAACTCCGGGAACCCATCCTCGCCGATCAGCTGGATGTAGCCCAGCCTGGCCGACGAAAAACCAGCGGCCAATCCGGGTCCCAGGGTGGTTTGAAGGAAGCTTCCCGGAGTTGGTCTCCAGATAGCGGAACCCCCTCGAAGCTAGTAGGTTTGTTATAAGGTCTTTTCTTTACAGCAACCCCAAACCAATTAAACTCATGAAAAACAAGACCCTAAACATCCCCAAACATCTCACCAAGTGGATATCCACATTGGACCTCACTTGAGTACGTTGGCAAAAAAGTAACTAGGTCCTCCAGTAGAGAGGTTAGAATAAGGGTACCCTTTTTTTCTGTAGTCAATTGTGGCAGGGGAACCCTCCACGGGCACTACTGGGGGACCTAGATAATGTGGCCAAGCATTTCGCTCAAGCCGCTACAAAAACGCATCACGCCCGCCATGGGAAAAACCCGACGAGGCCGAGCAAAAAAAAAGAGAGAAATCCCGGCGGCTGGGCATATCGCTGGTGACCTGCAGGGAGTGGCCGTTGTTGGCGATGCGGAGCTCCTTCACCGGCTTCCAGTCCTCAAAAAACCCAAAGGCAGCACCACCCCCAACTTGATGGACAGCAAAAAATGACTTTTTGCAGAAGTGGTTGGATTTCCCACTCACTCACGAGAAGCAAAAATGCTGCATGTGTCCCAACAACAAGCATGCCAAAACCCAAAACGCCGGCCAGCGGGTGGGATGACATCGCCCATTGATTTCAGCTTCAGACTTGGCGTCCTGTTGGAAAACCCAAAAAAGACCAGCCAAAAGGGGCACCCATAGTTTGAGGAGCCCAGATGTTAGTAGGTGGCGTTGTGTCCTTTTTTCCAGTCCCAAGTGCGAATTATCTGACCCACGTAGGTGGTAAGGGACTTAATGGCACTTGTCGAAGCGGGACGGTCATCCAGTACCCTTGTGCTTTGGACAGGGCCCAAATATTCCCCCTTAAGCCCGCTCCCAAAAAATAAAACTCGCCTATGGGCCACAAAGGTTAGCCATCCTTTTTTGGGGGCCCCCATATGTAACAGACACCTATGGATCAATCGGGCCCGCAGATCAGCTTCTGGTGGATCAGTTGACCCATGGCGTGTGGATTCGTTGTACCCACAGCTCCGTTCAAATGTCGGGTTTTTGGCCGGATCGCAGGCTGTGACCTGAAAGCACCCCCACTGGGCCTATTCGAAACATAACTAGGTCCTCCAGTAAGAGAGGTTAGAATAAGGGTACCCTTTTTTCTGTAGTCTATTTTAGTAGGAGAACCATCCCCCAAAAAAGGAGTAAAAGAGCACTACTGGGGGACCTAGATAAAGAACAGAAACGCTGCCTCAAGGCCTCAACCACTTTCAGAACGGGCCATGCCGAACCCAAAAACCCTCCCAGGTTGGCCCCTACCCGTTGAGCAAGCGGCCACCCGGTGCAGAAACGAGGAGCTTCCTTCCTCAGTCAGTCCATTCACAGGAGTGAGGACTCTTGTAACATGTATGTTAGGTCGTCTTCTGACTGACCCTTGACTGAAAGTCAAAACCCTATTCAAAAATCCTGGGAGCTTTCAATAAAGCGCAGACCTCCTGAAATTCACATAACTGTGGCCGTCCGCGCTGTGATTCCAACTCATTGGCTCTACGCATGCAGGGTGCGGCGGCACATAGCCGCCTACGGGCAAGGGGCCATCTGGACATCGCTCGGCAGGATGTTGATGGGTGACCTGGATGCTTTGAATTCGGCTCCATCCGGTTGCCCTTCAACTGGGTTGGATTCCCCGGTCGGTAGTCATGTCAAACCCTGTGCTGTGAGAAAAAACCCTCATTTTCCCCGAGCCGCCAAAAAAAAGCAAAGCTCAAGGTTCAAATCAGCTTCCCCCTAATTGGTGGTTTGGATTGGTGGGTTGATGGCTCGGAGCCTCATTTACCCTCTAAAAGTGCAGAGGTGAAGGGCATGGGCACGGCCCAAAGACCGTTTTAGTCAAGGATGACACGCACAAATCAAGGAGCATGCAATGTTGGTGCAGAAGGGTTAGCATGGACCCACATGGATTGCAGCCGCTTTGATCCATGTCGAAGAAAAAGGCTGGCAATAAGAACCAGGGGGTCAAATCACCAAACCACCAATCCAATGCACTAATTACTTAGGGGTACCCCCGACCAAAGGGCAAAACAACAATTCTAAAAAGCAGCGCATCCATGATAACTGCGGCCTGTCAAAGGGCCATGCCATCCGCACGTGACTCATGGCAACATGCGATTGCGGAGCCTAATCCCTTCATCTAGAGTCTAGAGGGTCCACTACGCCCAGGGCGGAAATGGGAAATACGGCCTTCATGTTCGGGTTATCGTGGTTGCTCATCTCATTTCCCTGAAATGGTGGCTGGGGTGGAAACCCTCATAAATTTTCGTGATACCAAAGTGGACCTCGGAACTCAATTGCCCAATAAAGTGAAGGATCGCCTCAAACATCGGACACCCCCCCTTTTAACATCCAGAGATGCTAAATCCGGAGTCAGCATTAATTCTCACAGAACACTTCCAACATTACAGTGTCAAAGGGTTGTACGTTCCACCTTTGTGGGGGAGGTAAGCAATAATTCTCGCATTTCCGGGGTTGGCAACGTACAACCCTCCCCCAAGAAACCCACCACCCCACTTGTGGCCGAGCTGCTGCTTCTTCCCTGTGCCACAGACTGGGTACTGCTCCGCCCAGCCTCAATCGCGTCCACTGGAACCGCAAATCATGGATCCCAGCTGTGGGGGTCCAAGGGATGGGAGACTTATGCCGAGAAGCACATGCCTTTCTTTTACTTGTTCCGCCATGGGCCAAGCCATGGCTAAGCCTCAAAAAAGGGATTGCAAACGTGAAGCCATCATTTTGTGAGAGCTGAAGGCTTGCACACGCCACCTTAGGTGCTGAGGGGCAATGGACATCGTCATAGTTCCAGGGTTCATTTCCGCAGGGCCAGCTGTGCCAGCTCAAGGACCAGGAAGGCAAACCATTCAGGAACACCTTGGTCGAGTAGTCCTTCCAGGGCACGATCGAAACGCATGGAACTGGACAGAAAGCCGAGAAGAAAAAAAAGAAGAAGAAAAAAAAAAGCTCGGATCCGTGACTACAACTTATGTCACATGTTCACGGGGGGAGGGTGCAGGAAGTGTCCCATGACACCATGCTCCCTTACGAGTCCACTGAATGCACTGCCAAGCGAGTACGTAGAGCCTTCGCTCTCTCTTTCGCTGAGTTGGGACAGTCTAACCCGTAGGATCCCTGGTAGGCTGATACTCACATTGGAAAAAAGTTCATCGCACTTCCATCATGAAACTCTGCATTTGACGAGGTCATCATGTGTCACCCGTCCACCCCTTCTCTCCTGAGGCGACATCTCCACAGGGTGCATCCTGGCACGATTCATGCAAGCGCCTCATAGCTTTTCAAACAGCAGCATGGCCACGACCCCGTCTGGGCAATCAGGGAAGTAGTCTACCAAAAGGGTGATGTCAGCTTCCAGGTTTTCACCGGCCGACATTCTCAATGGCAATGAAGACTCAGCCCCCGAAGCTCCAAAAGCTCACCACCCGCGTCCACGCGGAGTCCACACATGTACTAACAGGCTCCCCTGAAGGATATGCCTAAATGCCAAAATGCATCCTTCAAGGAACCCTGGTGGAGTACTTGGATCCCAAACGTGCATCCTGAGCCGACCCTGAAAAGTGGTGTCCTGTGGCTTCCTTGAAAAAACCACCGCAAAAAAAAGGTAGCTTTATAAAGAGAGACACCCATGTTTTTAAGGAATTGTGGACCAAGCCCATTGGATCCCTCCGGGCCTGGTCGAGTCCGTGCCCGAGACCGCCAGCGCCAGGTAGTTCATCTGCAGCAGGCTGGCGGTGATGGGGGTGGTGAAGGCGATCCACCTCCGCATGGCACGCTCCTTTCCTCCATTCATTTGCTTAAGCCCCCTGGCAAAAATCAAAAATGTTTCCAGTAGTGATGGAGTCCCTTTTCAACCAATAGGGGAAAATCAACAACATTCTTAAGCAAATGGAAGCTCAAGCGCTTTGTTGTTGATTTGGCCACGGGTCAAAATCCAAATCGTACCCCCAAATAACATCGATTCAATCCAACCACTAAAATAGGTAACCTAAAATCGGTGGTGAATTCACCTTCCCCAAAAAGGGATCCCATTGGTTTTGACAACCACGGCAATTTGCTTGTTTTCTGTCACCCCTTTTTCGGTGCGTGTGTGTGTGTGCCCGGAACAGAAGGAGGTCTTCTTGGTTCATGAAGGAGGGCTCCAAATGCGCGAGCACGTACCGGAAAAATAATTATTAAAAAAAAAATGATGAAACGGGGGGAAGACAAGATGGATCCGCTGAAAGGGGGAGAAACAACATGGCAGAACCAAAGCGGGCCATTCGTGCTCCGAAGAGGAGGTTCCACCATCCTTCCCGACTTTGGAGTTCCTTACTTTGGTGTGCCTTCCCTCAATTTCGTCATTAGCTTCGTGCGCAGGCTAGAGGTAACATGTACTGGGTGAGTTTGACTATTGTTAGATGTCCTGTGTACCTTCATGCATGACCTGCCATTCAGCTTCCTTAGCGCCGGCTTCCAGTGCAAGCAACAAATCGCAATCACTTCACTACCGCGCAGAGTGCCCGGGCCCACTGGCAAGAGTACCCACACCTAGTGGGATTTGCATACACAGGCCCGAGAAATGACACATACATGGGACCTGCACAGTTGCGTTTGGCTTTTCCCTTGGGGTTGTGGGAGCTCTTTTCGCGGGGGAGCATGGATTTGGCTGCATCTCTGCCCCCCCCCCCCCCCCGGCAAGCTCAGTGCGGCTGAGCTCCGGTTTGCTGAGACTGGTAAGGGAAAGAGGGCACGACTTTTGTTCATCCCTTCTCTTCCTGCTTCCGACTTGAACCCGCAATTGTGTGGGTTGAGAGGGGACACTCGGCCATTACGGCCAGTGATGTGGTCAATGCAACTCTCGGGGGGCTGTTGCCAAGGCCGTGCAGCGTTGGGGAAGGCTCCTTGAGCTTGGCATATCCTTGCGCTTAGACACCCGCAGAGCGGTGAGGGCAAGAACCCTTTGGGCAGCCATTCCTTTTCGGGCAGCAATGGGGGTTGCGGTGACCTGGCTGCACCAAGCAAACGCGATCATGGGGCAACGACGTGTTGCCACTGACTTGGAGCATGGGCCAGGCAACGCGCTTGCTGACCAGCCAGGCAGTCCAGATCTGGCGTAAAGTCCTGCAGCGCCTTGACGTAAAGATTGCGCGGCAAAGGCCAGCTGCCACTCCTGGTGGTTTGGAGCGCCCGCCTGCTTCGGGCAGGCATGCATCCCGACGCCTCCAACCTGTCTCATGCGCTTGATCAGTGCCCCGGCGCAGCTTGGGAGAGACAACTCGTTGTGCAACGCAAGATGGCGATAGTCACAAAGAGAAGCCAGGACTCAGCCAGGACTCCTAGCGACCTCTTTGGTTTGAGATTTGGATAAGTGAAGCCAATACTCGGAGCCAATGCAGCAACGGTGATGGCCGAGTGTCCAGCGGCACCTAGTTTATGGCCCTGATTTACTCCTCGCTGCTTTTGATGCCTTTTTAAAGGCGTTCCTGAACACCACATGTGATGGCAGTCATACATCATTTGCGAAGTTCTTGCCTGTCCCAACTGACTTATCTGCTTCTTAGCTGTCTTCTTCTGGGTGCCTTCTACATATCTTGTTGGGACTCCCGAAAGGCAAAATTTGGGCGAGACAGGCTTTGCTCAACGCCAGATGCGGATGTCTGAGGGAAAATAGTTCTTTTGTGATGATAGCACTCATCTCGAGGCTTTTCACGGGGCCTTCTCAGTTGCCCAACACACGCAAGGGTTCAGGGCCACAATGCATGGGTCCTTGCGGAGCAAGCAACTCGACTTGCAGTGTCTCTGGGTGCTTTCATGTGCCCCCTCCGCGCTTGGAGATCTGAGGATGGCTATTTGGCAACTTACATTTGAGCTCCAACTTGAATCACACTCAAAACCCCGGTGTTAAAAATTGTCGACCCAAATCAACATAAAGAACGTTGGAAAGGCGGCGCACCTATACAATTCTCGCTGAACACCTGACCTTCACTGGCCCGCGGGTTTTGAGTGACTCAGTGACTCACCGGTTGCTCGCCCCCTTCGAAGCACCAACCCCGCGGAAGCAAAGCGCGCCTCACGCCCCACTTGGGGCACCCAGGCTGGACGAGGCCGCCGGAGTAGAAGAGCCAGTCCCCCTCCAAGGAGGGCATGATGCCAGCCTGGAGGGACGGAAACCTCTTTTTTTTAATGGGGACCTCAGCCTCAAGCATCCAACTGCTGGTCGGCGTTTGTTGGGGACCAATTCCTAGGTTCAGCCCCTCATTCCCTTCTGACCAGCAAGTAATATTGACTTGGAGTCTACCCAATCCCCCAATAGGCCAACAACCCTGGGACAGCTCTTTTACCCATCACTTAGGGTTTCATTGGAGTCCATGGCTCACAACCCTTGGACCCGCCCTGCCTGCAAGTCAATGGTCTGCTCGATGCGATACTCATGCTGGTCCTGAAGCTTGGAACGGGCCCCGTGTCCCCACCCGTGTCCCCATTGTGGGAAAAATCCATCTTTCCTTCTGCACCAAAGTGGGATTTCCATTCACATGGACTAAATCATCACCTTAGAATGGCATTGCAGGAAGCCACAACCTAAAACTGCACAACCATGCCTCCCCAACAACCCCCCCCCTCCCCTAACCCCAACCCCCCCCCCCCTCACCCTCACCCAACCCCAACCCCCCCCCCCCAACAAGAAAAAAAACGGCGGCTCTCCTTGATGGCCTCCCGGTAGGCCTGGAACGGCAAGCCCAGCTCCCGCAGCAAGGAGCTCTCCACCCCCAGCTTGATGGGCACCTCCAAGAGACCATCGCCCCAAATGGGTGGCTCGGCTTCTTCTGGTTGGCTACCCCCTGGTTACGGTGGGCTTTTCAAGGGAAACCACC